TGTAGTCCAAGACCTCCTCCCCAACAGAGAGGACAGCTGGAGTGGAAGCTCCTTGTGACCTCCTAGAAATAAGCAAATCTCCAGGGAGAAGCCCGCTGCTCGCTGTCATCGCGCAGGAGTCAGTGTGAGTGCGTGATGATTGATTTGATTAGTTTCTTTAGAGGAAGAGGCCTCCTTGAGATCCCTGACACTGCGAGCAGTGGCTATGACTATGGGACTGCTGCCATCACGCTGCAAGCTCCAGTTCCTGAGAGAGAGCTTAGAGAGACCCACGCCAGCTTCCGGTAGCTGGTCCATTCTCAGGATATAAAATCTCTGATAGTCATTCTCAAAACCATCTTCCTTAAGCTGCAAGTACATTAGAAAACCTGGGACATTCACAGCATCTTGAAAAAACACTGCTGTGTAACTTTTTAAACACGTCTGTCTTTCCCAGAAGACTGACTTGTTAAGTGGTCTTATTAATCTCTATATTATTTCAAGAGTTAGCACAGCCTTTGGACGCTCAGCACATATTTTCTTGAATTAAACAAATAGACGAATGAATGAGTGAGTCCTCTGTTAAACCCTCGGGGGTTTGAGATAAATAAAACCTAGGAACAACTTCAGGGAGGCTCATCTGCACCACTCACACGGACCATGAGATCAAGCTCCAACAGGACCTGTTCTGGGAATTCTTGACTCCACATACGAAACAGCTGACCCTGGCATTGTGCACAGGAGGTGCCGGCCAGCTGCCAAGAGCCCTGCCATCCCCACGAGGAACAGCCCCTGCCCCCTGTGCTTTCCAGGGCGCATGCATCAGAAACTGCTTGTCCGTTTTCTATAATGTGCAGTGACACAGGGTCACCCACGCCTTGGGCTGCTGTAAATGTCAAGTATAATTTCACCGCGAGGTCTCCCTGGAGCTCCAGCATGCATCTGATACTCAGGGCAGTTTTGAGACACTGCACCTCTAGAGAGCCTGGTGGTCAGATGGTGGAGACCTCCTCCAGGTTTGCAGGAAATGATTAGCAGTTGGCCCAACTTCTCCAGGAAGCCTGGCTTTATGAAATCCAGAGTGAAGTCCCCTACATGCTGAAGGGGACACATGGTCAGGGCCCTCTTTTTCAATTTTTATTTACAGGGCTGGCGCTGTGGCATAATGGGCTAGGCCTTTGCAGGCAGCGCCAGCATTTCATATGGGCGTTGGTTCATGTCCCAGCTGTTCTTCTTCCTTTATCCAGCTCTCTTCTATGGGCTTGGAAAATACTAGAATATGGTCCAAGTGCTTGGGCCCCTGTACCTGCATGGGAGGCCTAGAAGAAGCTCCTGGCTCCTGGCTTCTGATCTGCCCAGCTCCAGCCATTGTGCCCATTTGGGGGGTGAACCAAGATGGAAGACCTCTCTGTAACCCCACCTCTCAAATAAAAAATAATAAATAAAATCTTAAAAATTTATGTAGTTTCTTTGAAAAGCAGATATAGATGATAGGTAATAGATAGATGATAGATAGATCGATCCATCCATCCTCCACCTGCTGGTTCACATCCCAAATGCCAGGGTTGGGCCAAGCCAAAGCCAGGAGCCAAGAACGCAATCTGGGTCTCTCATGTGGGTGGCAGGGACCCTACTACTTGCACCATTGTCCCCTGCTTCCCAAGGTGCACAAAAGCAGGAAGCTGGAATTGGAAGCCAAAGAGTAGGGATTCAAACCAGGTGCTCTGGCATAGGGCGTGGGTGTCCCAAGCAGCATCTTAACTAAGTACTAAGCACCCTCGCTGCTCTGCTCTTTTTGTCCGAGGAAGAATGGTCATGTATGTGTAGAACAATTGAGAAGCAATTGTCTGACATCTCATTCTTCTCTAGGCCATTTGCAGTGTGGCTGCTTCTTCCTGCAGCAGGCCTGACACCAGCCAGGCTCCCACTTCCCCTTCAACAGGATTCCCTCGCTGCTCCTCTTGAAGTCCCTGTGGTGGGCAACAGCTACACTCGCATGATGACCTCCTGGGAGACATTCCTGGCAAGGCAAGGTCACTGCACGACTCTAGCATCACAGGGGAAGCTCCAAAACGCAAATCAAGGGGGCCTGACCAGAACTGACCCCCAGTGTGCACAACGCACAGGCACATAGTGACTGAGGAGGGGTCTGGAAAGGCGAGGGGGAGAGAACGTCCTGGTGGGAGGCAAACAGGAGAACCTAGGGACGAGGGTGAACCAGGCGAGGGACCGGGGGAGGGGGGGGTGCCCTGACCACAGAGGGGGCTCCAGGGATGGATCAGCAGGGTGGAGGCAGGCTGGGATTTGGACCACACCTGTGTGTTCTACAGGCCATGGTCATCGCTGCCCCTAAATCTGCTCTTGCTTCCAGATTCCTAGTGCTGGCCGGCTGCACCCTTGTCCAGTTGGATCTTCACAGCGGAGCCTTAGATTCCTTCGTTCTCACTCCTGGCAGCTAATCTGTTACTGAATCTTGCTGAGTTTGCCCCTACATCTGTCTTAGATTCATCCCTACTGCCACTCCCCTGGTTCAGAACTCATTATCTCGTGCTCAGGCATCCTAATTGGTCTCTCAGTTTCCATCCGAAGTCGATGAAGATTTGTAGCATGAAAAATGCATGAATGCTGAGGCTTCCCGCCTCACGGCAGCGTCCCAGGTGGGAGGCCCGGCAGGAGCCTTCCTCTCTCCCCTGAAAGCACACAGAAGTGTTTCCAGGACCAGAAGGGCCCACAGGAGTCAGGGATCCCAGCCCAGCCTCTTGTTCAGAAGTCAGGGTTTCTTCCTTTGGGCCTTGGAGAGGGCATGGGGCCCCGATGGGAAACAGACCCCAGCACCAGATCCACATCTCGGTCTCACTCATTTGCTTCTGCCCTTCTTTTCTCCAAGCTCTCCTGGGAGCTGAAGAATGCAATTAAAGAGTCAGATTTCTGATTTGGAGGTAAGCTTGGCTGTACCTGCTAGGGTTGTGCCAGCCCGGTTCCCCCGTGTGGGTAAGGGTGGTGGGCGGCATGACCGGGAAAGTCACCGGAGACAGACTTCTGCCATTCAAAGTCAGCTCCCAGGGTCAGATGCTGTGCGTGCCTGCCCTGCTGTCCACACGGAATGTGCCATGTTCACACACCGCATGCAATTGTGTGCTTAAGATTTCTCCCTCGGAAAATCCCTCTCGCCTTCCCTATCTCCCCATCTCTCCCTAGCAACATTCAAAATCAAATCACAGGCTTGTGCCCTGGGGCCCATCTGATCTTTAACAAGCTGATTCCATCATCTCCTTCTAACCTGGAGGAGTTTAGAAAATGACTCTAACCCATGGTGGCGTGGGGGCCAGTCGGCTTAGAATTCAGGTGCTCGGGTAGCGAAATGGGATTTTCATTCAGAGTGAGATGTCAGCCTAGATGGCTTCTCTTCAGGCAGAGGGGAGGACAGGGCTGCAGGCGGCTCTCTGACCATCACAGGCCCCGCTACCTGTTTCTGCCAGAACCATCTGGAATACTGAGACGCGGTTTCCTCCATCCCCTGTACAGTTTCAAAGAGGTCTGTGCTGCCACCACCCTTCCCTGCTGGCCTGGGACGTGATCAAGGGAATAGGGTGGAGCCCAGAGAGTTCCGAAATTCTCACTGGGTTCTGTGGGTGCGAGCAGTGTGGGTGAAGAATTGTGTGTGGGTGCAGTGCATGCATGTGTGTGTGTGTGTGTGCATGTGTGTGTGTGTGTATACACAGGTGTGTGAATGCTGAGGGGGGAAAGCCACCCCGAAAGACAGCAGTGGGGGCACGAGAGGACAGAACGTATGCATGCAGGGATCTCCATTTCCTTGGCGGGATTGAAGTGACCCCCAGACACAGGCCCAGTGGAAGAGAACGGCCTTTCCTAGGCTGCAGAGTCACATGTGAGCTCCTGAGTATTCTTGGAGAAAATGAGGAAGGATAGAAGTGACTGCAGGTGTGGCGAGGAAGGAGGCCCCTCGGCACAGCGAGTGTCTCGTCTTAGGAACAAGGGGCAGTGCCCACTTAGGAGGCGCTCATCTCCACGCTGTCCAGGCTCCCTTCAGAGATCCAGGCCTCTGTGGATGCTGGGTTAACGAGGCCGCCATCCACACACCCGGCTTCCAGTTCTGGATGTGAACTGGCAGAAGTCCTTTCTCATGCTCTGGGCCTTACATTTTCCTTCTCGACATCACCGTCACAGTGCAGGTGGGGCACTATACAAAATAGTGTGCCTAAAGTCTGCAGGTGCACACAGTAGGTGCTTCATCAAGCTAGGTTCCCCCACACCCACTTCTCACAGCACAGCTCCTTCAGCTTGGTTTCCCAAGTCCTGGGCTGTCCCCTATCCTGTGGTCCCACATCACGGCCCACAGACCCCAGCCCTCTCTGCCCTACACCTGAGTGTTCAGTTCCCTCCGCCACCCTGACTCTAAGCTTCTCCTTGCTGTGGGCAGCCAGGCCCAGCCTCAGGGATATGTGACCCAGGCAGGGACCCACAACCCCAGCCTTAGTTGCGAAAACTTGGTTTAAAGTTTTGCCATCCCTGTATTAAAATTCCTAACAATTTTTGAACTAGGGTCCTGCAGTTTCATTTGCATGGAGCCCCACAAATTATGCAGCTGGCTCTGTGGGGAGGAGGCCAACCTCTTCCCAAGGGACTGACCCCACTCATCATCAGTCAGGTGGCTCTCTGGGAGCCAGCAGGGCAGAAGGGAGCGTGGGGGTCCCTGGGCCTTGCGCTGGCGGCTCCTAAACATGCTGTGCCATTTAATCCCTGTATGACCAGTGAACATCGGAGGTATGGCTGTGCCACTGGACCCAGGCCACCAACTGATAAAAGGAGCCTGAATCAGGCGTGTCTGATGCCACAAGCTGCTCCCTGTCCTCAACCCTTCCACCCTAAGCAAATGGATCCACCTGGGGGCGCCATAATCCGACGCAGGTGGGGAGGACCGGTCCTTTCATACCATCACAGAATACATCTGATCTGCACACATGGGCTAACGTAATGAGTCACAGCAGGCAGACCCCTACCACAGAGCTTTTGAAGGGACTTCTCCGAGTAGGTCTCCCGGTCGCAGCCCTTCCCGATGTAGTTGGTCTGCAGCTCCGCGGTGACCTGCAGGGAGGACACGGCTCCATCGCACGTCTCCAGGTGGATGCTGGGGAACAAGGCCATACTCCCCGAGCCGGGCTGGTACTCAATCCTTTTGGCCCAGTCTGCATCAACAAGGAAACGATAAAGCAGGAAGTCAGTTCTGCAAGAACACTTGTTTTACGAATGTCAATGGATTTCAAGCAATATATTACAGAGCAGCTGGAGGATAATGGGGATTTTGCATTTGCTTGTGCAAGATTCCCTCCCCAAGAAATGCAGGGAAAATACAGGGAGCTTGCACCCAGCTGAACCAAGCCATGTAAGAGTATGCAAAACACGCCCAAGCACATATCTCAAACATCTAGCGGGTGCTTAGTTCACTGTGTGCTACAGGGAAAATGGGACGAGAGGTACAAAGCTCAGAAAACGACCATTGGTGGTGCATAAAGAGGAGAGAAAGAGGAAATGCTGGTCTTGTTTTACACAAATACTACAATAAATACGGCCCTGTGCCTGGGGGAGACCTGACTTTGCTGGTGTATGGGCACCTGCAGTTACAACCTCCAGTCATTTTTGCGTGTTTCACAGTATCACCCACTGCAGCCCTCCCTACCTGCACCTCCACCTGCACGTGTCAGGTCTCTTCAAGGTCAAGGGCTTGTGTAAAACTGCATTAATGTTTCCCCTCTCTCTGATGCGTCACAGATGACGATTTCCGATATTGCGTCTCTCACCCTGTTTTGCCTTGTGCATGAGTTTTAGGAATGCACCGGTCTTGTTTGCAGACAAAAGATGCGTGGGCTTTCAAGGATGATGTGATCATAAGGCAGGGATAGGCCAACATTCAGGACTTGCTGAAATACCACTGACGTGTTTCATTTTTAAAAGAGATTTCTTTGTTTGATAGGCAGAGTTACAGAGAGAGAGAGAGAGAGAGAGAGAGAGAGAGAGAGAGAGATCTAGATCTAGATCTAGATCTTCCATTTGCTGGTTCGCTCCTCAGCTGGCCACAATGGCTAGGGTTGGGCTAGGCTGAAGCCAGGTGCCTGGAGCTACATCCCAGTCTCCCACATGGGTGGCAGGGGCCCAAGCACTTGGACCATCATCTGCTGCTTTTATGGGTTCCTTAGCACAGAACTGGATCAGAAGTGGAGCAGCTGGGACTTGAACTGCACTTTTGTGGGATGCTGATGTCACAGGCAATGGCTTAATTGCCTGTGCCACAATGCTGGCCCTGGACTATCACCTTGCTTTTCAGGAGAGAAGCAATTTGGAGACAATCAAGCAACGAAGAACAAACTTATCATCAAAATGCCACCACACAAGAACAGAGCAATCTACAGAAATAAATACCAAGGACAAGCACATAGGAATTGATTGATGCGTTAACAGCAAAGATTGAAAGTCAGGGCCTGTCCAGGAGCCGCTCACAGCAGTTGATAAGGTTCGGGTGCCAACAACAGCAGGCAGCCCGTGCACTGTGAGGACGGCGTCCACCTTCAGCCAGGATTCCTGTGCAGCAGGACTCTGTCACCGAGAGATGCAAGTGATGGGCACCACTGGTCTACAAATCCCCAATGTTTGTCATGTAGCATGTTGCTCTGCAATGGCGTTTTCTGATGTAGAAATGAAAACCTCTGGAGTTGCCCACCCTTGCCCATGAGGAACCAAGAAAGTCCTGCATTTGTGGGACTTTGAATCAGTCTGCAGCCTCCGGCAGGCTCTGCAGGACTTCCCAGTGACTGCCGCTGTGGTGACACCAGGACCATGGACAGGGCCTGGCTTAGGGATCAGCGAGATGACTTTGTTCACTGAGCAACCATTTGCTTAGGGACTCTCTGTGCCAGGCTCTGCTCGGAGCACTGAGGATACAGCAGTGAGCAAGTCAGGGGTGTGGGAGACTGGCAGGAGATGCCGAAGCCCGTGCTGTTCTATCAGAGGAGAAAGCGCTATGGGAGGAAAGGCCAGGGCCAGCAGGGGCTCCCTTGGATGAGGAGCGCCTGTCTGAGCTGAGGCTTGCATGGCAATGAGGAACGCTCCAGGGGAGCCTCGGGAGATGTGTGTTTGAAGCAGACTCAGCACGGATCTTGGCTTGAGGCTGCCAGGTCAGGAAGCTCATGGGCAGGTCCTCCAAGCCTCAGGCACCTCACCAGGAAAACAGGGACCATCACAGCATTGGGATGAGGATCAGGCGCAACCATCAGGTGGGCATGGCAGGCAGTAGGCCCTGTTAACCCATTCCCTGGTGAGGAAGGGGACAATGTCCCTGTGCACCACGACCCTGCCCTGAGCTCCCACGTTCGCCCACTGCTCCCTACGGTGTTATCCCAGCACAGGCTGTGAGCAGATGCTGCACGTGAGGGCTGTAAAGTCTATCCCAGGGCCTTGGAAGAGGGCTTGTTGGGTCAAGAGTGGCTGCACACAGAGGAGAAAGCAACCGGTGATAGGCTTTCCTCCAGCACCCATGTCTGGACTGGCCCTGTCCCTTCTCCAAGGACGACCTTAGGCAGCCCATGCCCCAAAGGCCCAGGTTCAATCCTAAAGACTTCCTAAAGGATGCTTTCCTGTCAGGTGTACTGAAAACCATGCCCCTTCCCTTGGGTGGCATCCTAGGTACAAGGTGCTTCATGCCAGTATGCATATGCTAATGCCATTTATTCTACATGAGCTCCTGCTCTGTCACTTTCTCACTTGCTACCTCCTCCATGTAGCCTTTCAGGATTTCCCCAGTCTAGGTAGATGCCCTCCTCATGCTGCCACGGCAGCCTCAGCCCCAGGATCCCAGTATCACGCGGACTCAGAATTTCCATCATGCTTCCTGATGCCTGGCGTGGAGAAGATACTCTCTAAAGACTGGTACAGCATGGAAGGATCCTACAGGGCATCATATTGCAGTGATCCACTTGTGGGCCTGCCTCTCCCAGCAGCTGTGAGCTCCTTAAAATCAGGGACTGTGGGGCAGGTGCTGTGGCACCATGGGCTAAGCCTCTGCCTGCAGGGCCAGCAGCCCATATGGGTGCTGGTTCATGTCCTGACTGCTCCTCTTCCAGTCCAGCTCTCTGCTATGGCCTGGGAAAGCAGTGGAGGATGACCCAAGTGCTTGGCCCCTGCACCCACATGGGAGGCCTGGAGGAAGCTTCCGGTTCTTGGCTTCAGATTGGCGCAGCTCCAGCTGTTAGGGCCATTTTGGAGGTGAATGGGTGGATGGAAGACCATTCTCTCTGTCTCTCCCACTGTCTGTCTGCAACTCTACCTCTTAAATAAATAAATGCATACATACATACATTCTGCGGGCATGGTGCAAATTAGGCGAGACGCTGTGTGTGCCATGCAAGGTGCAGCAAGCACTCAGGAGACTGGGATGTTGGTACCAAGCTTGCAGGTGTAGGCTCCTTCTCAGGCATCCACAGGGCGTGTGGCAGCCAGCCCTCGCCAGCCTTGCTGGCTGCTCTCAGCAGAGTGAGGGAAGCCCTTCCCTCTGCTCCTGGAGCTCCTGCAGCCATGTCTGAACAAGGCTGGGCTGGGGGAGTGGGGGAAGAGCATTGTCCCCAGGTATGGGAGGGGGGACAGGGCTGGGGAGAGCTTGAGTGGCATTGGGCAGTAGAGCCAGCGTGGTGCTAGCCACACCCAAGAGAGATTTCTTGCTTCTCTAAATTTACTTTCTACAGGCATTTCATCAACTGCTGTCCTGGGGGTGTGAGCATGAGTTGGGACATCAGGCTGGAGGGAGGCAGGGGTGCCATCACCGGGCGGGGCACCCAATCCTGGCTCTGGGCCCAGCTGCCATGTTTACAAGTCCCCGTGTGTGCTTCAGTGTGCTGTTGTCACTGTCTTGAAATTCTTAATGATTTTTAAAACAGAGGACCTCTTATTCCCATTTTGTACTGGGATCCACAATTGATGCAGCTGGTTCTGCCGTGCCAGCCTTGTGACCCAGGCTGTGTTCCTTAACCTTTCTGAGCCTCTGTCTCTTCAGCTATAGAGATGCCCCACGGGGAGGCCCCATCGCATAACCACCAGGAGCTGGGGCCCTGTCAGCAGGCCTGGGTGTGAGCCCCGGCTCAGCCTCGTGGCCTCAGCCACTGTGGGCAAGCTGCTTCCTTCTCCACAGCTCTTCACAGCTGTGTGTGTGGGTCCCAGGCGAAGCAGAATGCCCCCCATGGTGCCCGTGCCTGACACATAATAAGTACGTATGCTTGGGGGCACTAAATTATGTGGCTTTCTCTTCTCCAATTAAAAACAATTACCCGCAGGCTCCATTTACCAAGAAACAACACAAACTCTCTGAACTCAATTACAAATATCGGAATCCCCTCCCTTCCTTTATTACTGACCCTTTCCCATTCACTATATTTTACTTTCACCAGAGCGTTTTATTACCTTTTAATTCCTGCTGCAAAGAGACAATTACCCGCAAAGGGAGGGGTGGGGGGACGCATCTCCGAGCTGCATCCTTGGCTAAGCCTCAGACTGGTGCTCTGCTGTTCCCTGCCGCTGCAGGTTGGGTCCCTGTCTTCCTGGGGCTGCGCCTTCTCTTCCTCCGGGTCTTGCCCCACAGGTATGGAAAGGAGGTCTCTTGAGCCTCATCTCCACCCCGCCTAGAAATCTTTACTTCTGGCTCTGTAGCATGCCTCGCCTGGGAGCCCCTCAACAAGTTCATGGAAAATGGATTTGAAAGCTGAGTTTATTTCGGTGCAGAAAGTGTGGAATCCATTCATGTGAAAGGTCTTCAAAAAGTTCATGGGAAAGGCATACTAGGAAAAACCTGTACATGGATTTCAAATATTTCCACACCAAAATAAACTTACCTCTGAATTCTGTTTTCTAGGAGCTTTTAGAAGTCCCCTGGTATTTCGCCGTGCTGTGCTTTGCATATGATGGGTACTCAATAAATATCTGTGACATGACGACGGTCACTTTATAAGCATGGGAACATACACACAGTGCTTGCCGCTGAAGGCAGAGGAAGGCAATTCTCTAGAACCCAGGGAGTCCTTATTCCAGCTGGCAAGGGTTAGTGCACTTGGGCCAGCTGTCAACTCTTCCCCCTGCTTCCTGCTGCCAGGCACCAAATGACAGGCTGCTGGGATCCAAGACACGGCTGCTGTGTGTGTGTGTGTGT